TGATTCAACCAGTTTTTGCCCTGTGAGTATGCTTGTCTACCTAAATTATAATAGCCATGGAAGCATATCTAAAGTAGTGTATGCAGTATTATTGAGATGAGTAAAAATGCTATGCAAATTGACATTCTAATATAGCATTGCTGGTATGACCCTCTTTTCTTGCGCCCAGACGTAGACTCATAGTCAGAATCAGAATCTGAAGAATTCCCCCATTTTTCATAGATCACAGCATCGTAGATCTCTTGATACATCTCATTAAGCTTCTCCCTTGCGTCTGAATCCATGTCATCCATCTCAAGCACAGCCAATGCTTTTAGAACGTCCATTCGCTTTTGCCGTTTTGCCATTGTAAATTATGCAGGCATCCGTTTACAGGTCACGTCTCTTCTCCAGTAATGCAGGCTCGTCTGTATTCGTTCCCACCAGAGTGGACTTTATATAGGCTACCATTCCCAGACCCACTTAGTTAACAGATTATAATTATACTGCCCCCACAATAGATTGCCAAGCCCACGTCTTCACTCACGTTAACTATTGATATTTATAAATGGATTGTTCATAGAAGTCCCGTTTATACCTGGTGCTAACATGCGTCCTGAGTCGTGATCTTGTCTGCATTCTGATTGTGCCCACATTTTTAAGTGTAGACAATCAAAAGACACATTGTGAACTGATTTTAATCAGATCTTTATGATCACCTCCTGGGGGTAGTCCTGCACGCATTGTATCTGGATAAGTGTAATGTAAAATGATTGACAATTGACTTAGTATGCAATGAAGAGTTTCATTCCAAAATGCTATTTATCCATTTTCAGAAATGTTGGTAAATTAGCTTTTAATGTTTAAAGAAATTATGAAAGAGATTGGTGTGTTTTGTCTAATCATGGCATGGGGTTGTTCAATGACAGTATTTGTTTAAAATATATTACTTGATGGTTTCATTTCAGAGAGACAGATAATTGTGTTGTTGTTGCAAAATGCTGTAGGCAATACAGTGATATGAGATCTGTACGTAAAACATTTACATTTGACATTTTAGTCATTTAGCAGAAGCTCTTATCCAGAGAAACATACAGTAAGTAAGTGCATTCATCTTAAGATAGCTAGGTGAGACAAACACATATCACAGTCAAATACACAGGATACGAATATTCCATTCCAGCTAAACAATGGATATATAGCGTTTTTGCAATAAAAAATATTTTTCATACACATCTAAAATCTACAAATGAAACATCTGAGAACACATACATGAAGGTACCAGTAAGCAGTCATTTCTGATGAAAAAACACAAATGTGAAAAATTGGTGGATATAGCGTTTTGGAAATAAACTCTTCAAATATAAATCATGATTTTGAAGCCATATCTCTCAAATAATTGTAATACTTGGAGGGACCAGGGAATCTGGTCACAATGCGGACACAGTGGACAGATAAGACACATTTTAATAGCATGCGTAAACATGACAGACCTTGATCAGATAGTCATTGGATCATCTTGATTGGATAATGAAAAACACATGTTAGCGCAAGGTGTAAACGAGGCTATTGCTAATCCCTTTCTCACCCATCCATAGCCATCAGACAGTGGCCACTCAATGTCCATTATTATTACTAATAACATATTTTTTAGTTTGTGATATTGAAATTCAATAAAATGTAAGTGTCACATTAAAAAAGACAGAGCGGGGAAGATGTGACTTTCATAATGGCAGTTATTATGATTTTATATTAGGCCTTCACTTCCCACTGGTTGAATCAACATTGTTTTAAGTATTGTGTACTTGGAATATAAGTCTAAAATCCAACATTTTTATTTTATATTTAACTAGGCAAGTCAGTTAAGAACAAATTCTTATTTACAATGATGGCATACCCTGGCCAAACCCGGACAGCGCTGGGCCAATTGTGCGCTGTCCTATTAACAATTAACAAATTGTGTTTGGTTGTTAACGCAACCAAATATCAACATTTGAAGGAGATGTTTCTTCTGCTTGGATAATTCCATCGGTGCCACTGACTTAGTCCGGCTTTAATTACAGTTTGTCTACAAATTAATAATTGATATGTTGGATTCACGTCTCCATCTCAACCAAAAATGCAAGTTAAAGAATAGGACTAAATCAAATCAAACTTTAAATAAAGATGTATTTAATTTAGTCCTATTCTTTAATTCAGATTATTTGGCGCAGACTCAGGTCTTTACCTCTTAAAACGAAGAAAGCTACTAACAGATTTGTACCGGCATCAGTAGGCTTTTTAATGAAAATGTATTTGTGAGACTTTTGTTCATCTTGTATAGCAAGGCGCTTTAATTTTTGTTGTTGTTGTGACTTTCTTTTATCTTGTATATTCCACGTAAGCGTTTGTATCTGTCAAGTGTGAATGTTGCTGTTTATATGCTTACTATAGTGGGGGGAAAAGTATTTAGTCAGCCACCAATTGTGCAAGTTCTCCCACTTAAAAAGATGAGAGAGGCCTGTAATTTTCATCATAGGTACACGTCAACTATGACAGACAAATTGAGAAAAAAAAATCCTGAAAATCACATTGTAGGATTTTGAATGAATTTATTTGCAAATTATGGTGGAAAATAAGTATTTGGTCACCTACAAACAAGCAAGATTTCTGGCTCTCACAGACCTGTAACTTCTTCTTTAAGAGGCTCCTCTGTCCTCCACTCGTTACCTGTATTAATGGCACCTGTTTGAACTTGTTATCAGTATAAAAGACACCTGTCCACAACCTCAAACAGTCACACTCCAAACTCCACTATGGCCAAGACCACTTGATGTTCATAAAACTCCACGGACCCCCTCTTGCACAGTGGAACTCAGAACAATATGTGACCACTTGGTTACGGTGCTGTCCTTTCAGCACCATGATTCTGAGGGCGCTTAAATCGCCTAATAGTCCTATTCATCACTTATTATTATTATTACAAATAGAAGATTGTCTGTTCTCACAATGGTGCTGGTTTAGTAAAGTACGAATGAAGCTGAATCAATGTTTGGCAAAATCATATAATGATTCATTCGTATTTTACATAACAGAATATAATAGCATACAGTAAACTGTAGCATAGAGTGCAGATGGACCTTCGCGCTTCACTAAACAAAGAAAAGGAGGGGTGCTCAACAACAATGACAAAAATCACGAGAATGGCTTACCAAGAAAAACATCCAAAAGGACTAATTCGAGGTAAAAAGGAGTTGGAGCACTCAAAAAAAGGCAGAGATTGATTTCTTATTTCTCACTTTAATCCATTGTACAGGATGTGGACAGGTGACTGACGTTTCGACGTCAAGCTGACGTCTTCCTCAGTGACCTGACTATTGCGCGTAAATCCTATTTATAGCCTAGTGGCTCGTTGAGACACAACAATGTAAACAAATTATAATGATAATATGTTTAAAGGTAAATGGCAAATTATAGCACAAAATAAAAAGATAAATAATCAATCAATCAAATGTATTTATAAAGCCCTTTTTACATCAGCAGATGTCACAAAGTGCTTATACAGAAACCCAGCCTAAAAACCCAAACAGCAAGCAATGCAGATGTAGAAGCACAGTGGCTAGGAAAAACTCCCTAGAAAGGCAGGAACCTAGGAAGAAACCTAGAGAGAGACCAGGCTCTGAGGGGTGGCCAGTCCTCTTCTGGCTGTGTTGGGTGGAAATTATAAGAGTACATGGCCATTAAGGTCAGATCGTTCTTCAAGATGTTCAAACGTTCATAGATGACCAGCAGGGTCAAATAATAATCACAGTGGTTGTAGAGGGCGTCTCGTTAATCAATAGGCCATGTCAAAATATACATAGGTGATATTTGTGTGTCTGTGAATCTGGAGACACAGAGACCCAAAAGATACTGTAGCGTAGTAGGCTTATAATATGTTATACCAAAAACACATCCTCAGTCATTTCTTATCTGAAGCTGAAGAGTCAAAAAAAGAATCATAATGCGGCGTGAACTCAACAGTGAACGCCACTAGGCAGGATTTACAAAATATTCAGTTGCACCCCCTTTTACCCTCAGAACAGCCTCAATTTGTAGGGGCATGGACTCTACAAGGTGTCAAAAGCATTCCACAGGGATGCTGGCCCATGTTGATCCCAATGCTTCCTACAATTGTGTAAAGTTGGCTGGATGTCCTTTGGGTGGTGGACAATTCTTGATACACAAGGGAAACTGTTGAGTGTGAAAAACCCAGCAGCATTGCAGTTCTTGACTCACTCGAACCAGTGCACCTGGCACCTACTACCATACCCCGTTCAAAGGCACTTAAATCTTTTGTCTTGCCCATTCACCCTCTGAATGGCACACACACAATCCATGTCTCAATTGTCTCAAGACTTAACAATCCTTCTTTAACCTGTCTCCTCCCCTTCATCTACACTGATTGAAGTGGATTTAACAGGTGATATCAATAAGGGATCATAGCTTTCACCTGGATTCACCTGGTCAGTCTATGTCATGTTTTGTACACTCAGTGTACAATATAAATGTGGGTACATTTGTGGACACAATTCTTACTCAACCAAGTGGTTAACTGACATGTTTTAAAGCACTCACCATCACTGTGATACATCCATTACTCAACCTTCAGTATTGATGGCGGAAAGAAGAAATTAGGAGGAAGAAATGGGGGAGGGGCGACATAAAGACAATTGGCACAGACTGCATGATGATGCTGTCTATGATGGAAGAGGGGGATGGGAGCAGATGACAGGTCCCTCCAGCACGTGGTCTAAGGTACAGTCAGTGCACCTCTCCCTTCCTCCCTCCCTCTCTCTCATTCTCTCTTTTTCTCGATCCATCTGTACCCTCCCTCCATCCTCTTCAAATGCATCACAGCCTCCTGCCGAGCCCTCAGCCCATGAAACGCTCCGAGCCACGGTCATGTGACATCAGCCTCCAACCACTCTTCAAGAGGGGAGTGTCTCTTTCCCCCCTCTCCTCCCTCCTCTGTCTCCCTCTCTCTCTCTCTCTCTCTCTCTCGCTGAGTCAGACAGCAGGGTTGTGTGTCTGAAGCAAAGGCTCCATGGAGGGGAGATATCGTCTCCACCAGCCGCAATATAGCATTGCCTGAGAGAGATAGAGGGGAAAAAAACAGATTCCCTTCTTTCTCTCCCTCGTTGAGGAACAGAGGATGAATGGAGAAGCGATGGACATGTCCCTGGAGTCATCATCCCCGGTGGTGGAGCAAGGCACCGTCAGGGGGGCGTCAGCGGCACCAGAGCCGGCATCCACGGCGGCAGCAGCCGGTAACGGCTCCCTGCCTCCCCCGCCCACCATGGCTCCGGCCATCCCGCCCTACGTCAAGCTTGGCCTCACCGTGGCCTACACCGTCTTCTACTCTCTCCTCTTTGCCTTCATCTATGCCCAGCTGTGGCTGGTGCTGCGCTACCGCCACAAGCGCTTCAGCTACCAGACGGCCTTCCTCTTCCTGTGTCTGCTGTGGGCCGCGCTGCGCGCACTCCTCTTCTCCTTCTACTTCCGCGACTGCGTCACGGCCAACGCGCTGGGGCCCTTCGCCTTCTGGCTGCTCTACTGCTTCCCCGTCTGCCTGCAGTTCTTCACGCTGAGCCTCATGAACCTCTACTGCGCCCAGGTAAGGATGGGCTCCTAGGGGCCACATTGAGGGTCCATTGGGGTCCAAAATGTGGATTACGGTTGGATGCTATATGTTGTTGTTTTTTATACCCAATCTGTCCTTTTTTTCAGCCTCAGTGTCTAGGTAGTAGTTCAGAGTATTAATATGATGATACATTGATGTGTGAGTGTTGTGTATACAAGAATAGCTGTGGACTGGTATTTCCGATATTGTTGAAATGGTGGCATCCCCAATAGGGGGGATATACAATCATATGGGGAAAGCTCCCCTAGAAGAGGTAAGTGGTGGAAGGGGCGTGAAGGCAGTGGGGAGGAGGGGGCGGTTTAAGAAAAATACAGAAGGGTAAAGGTATGAAAGGAAGATTAGCAACGTTTTCCTAATTTAGTAATTTAGCACAGCCACCTCATTGTGCACACAGCATTTGGCAATTATATATTCATACAGCTAGTTATTTACAATATATCATAGCAGGCGTCGTGGTGAGGTGTGTGCAATACGGGTCAGACAAGAAGACATGCTGCTTTTAGATACACTGAACAAAAATATAAACGCAACATGCAACAATTTCAAAGATTTTTCTGAGTTACAGTTCATCGGAAATCAGTCAATTGAAATACATTCATTAGGCCCTAATCTATGGATTTCACATGACTGGGAGTATAGATATGCATCTGTTGGTCACAAACACTTTTTTTTAAAAGGTAGGGGCGTGGATCAGAAAACCAGTCAGTATCTGGTGTGACCACCATTTGCCTCATGCAGCGCGACACATCTCCTTTGCATAGAGTTGACCAGGCTGTTGATTGTGGAATGTTGTCCCACTCCTCTCCAATGGCTGTGTGAAGTTGCTGGATATTGGCGGGAACTGGAAACGCTGTCGTACACGTTGATCCAGAGCATCCCAAACATGCTCAATGGGTGACATGTCTGGTGAGTATGCAGGCCATGGAAGAACTGGGACATTTTCAGCTTCCAGGAATTGTGTACAGATCCTTGCGACATGGGTCCGTCTGTACATTATCATGCTGAAACAGGAGGTGATGGAGACGGATGAATGGCACGACAATGGGCCCCTGGATCTCGTCCCGGTATCTCTGTGCATTCAAATTGCCATTGATAAAATGCAATTGTGTTCATTGTCCGTAGCTTATGCCTGCCCATACCATAACCCCACTGCCACCATGGGGCACTCTTTCCACAACGTTGACATCAGCAAACCGCTCGCCCACAAGACGCCATACATGATGCCTGCCATCTGCCCGGTACAGTTGAAACCGGGATTCATCTGTGAAGAGCACACTTCTCCAACGTGCCAGTGTCCATCGAAGGTGAGCATTTGCCCACTGGAGTCGGTTACAACTGCAGTCAGGTCAAGACCCCGGTGAGGATGACAAGCATGCAGATGAGCTTCCCTGAGACGGTTTCTGACAGTTTGTGCAGAAATTCTTCGGTTATGCAAACCCACAGTTTCATCAGCTGTCCAGGTGGCTCTTTTGAGACCATCCCACAGCTGAAGAAGCTGGATGTGGATGTCCTGGGCTGGTGTGGTTACACATGGTCTGCGGTTGTGAGCCGGTTGGACGTACGGCTAAATTCTCTGTTGTGTGACAAAACTGCACATTTTAGAGTGACCTTTCATTGTCCCCAGCACAAGGTGCACCTGTGTAATGATCATGCTGTTTAATTAGCTTCTTGATATGCCACACCTGTCAGGTGGATGGATTATCTTGGCAAAGGAGAAATGCTCACTAACATGGAAGTAAACAAATTTATGCACAAAATTCGAGAGAAATATGCTTTTTGTGCTAAACATTTCTGGGATATTTTATTTCAGCTCATGAAACATGTGACCAAGACTTTACATGTTGCGTTTATATTTTTGTTCAGTATAGATGAAGAATCATTATCAGAGGCACGTAATTAAATTGTAATAGACTTAAATAGAGGATCTAGAGTTTTATACTTGATTTTATATAGATTTTTCACACCAGCAGTTGTCACAAAGTGCTTTAAGGTTACCCGGCTTAAACCCCAATTAGCGAGCAAAGCAGAAGCGAAAGAACAGGGCAGGAAAAACTCCCTAGGAGGAAGCAAACCTAAAAAGAGGAACCCGGCTCAAAGGGGTGGCCCACAATACAGACTTGAACAGCCCTCGTCTGCAGACGCCAGCAATCACACATTTGCTTGACATTCTTATGCCCACTGCTCTGTATAGCCAGTTAGAGACGCAATGCTACATCTATTCGCAGCATTTGTCTCCCTTCACACATTACTATTAAAGATAATACAGTAGGGCCTCGCTTGTCTGCTGTTGACATCACGTCACTGGTTTCTTTTGATGCAATTACAGTAACTGATAAGAGGTCAGTCTACATAGTGAAAAAGGGGTCCAATTTGTTTGAATTTCTTCGGGATCCCTTCAAATGTATCTGATCTGGAGACAGAATCAATTAATTAACTGGTTCTTCAGCTGAGCAGCCACGTTTTTGATTGTTTGTTGTTCTTTTCTTGGGGGCAAATTCTTAAAGACCATTGGGAAAATGTTCAAAGTGTTAACTTGCTTTCTGATGTCACCCAAAACAGGTTTACTTCAAGGCAAAGTCCAAGTATACCCCAGAGCTCCTTAAATACAAGTAAGTAGACTGTTTCCCCCTCTCTTCCTCTCCATATACAGGAACCCTCACATATCTCAAAGGCTGTAACTAGGACCCAGAGATTTTATTCATTTCATGTGGTCTCCAGACCGTATGTACTGCAGTGTTTTAGACCACCCCCTTTCCCTATCTTTCCTTCTGCAGGCTCCCTCTCTACCTGGTCTTCTTGGCAGTCAGTCTTCTCTTCCTGGTGGTCAACCTGGCCTGTGCCCTGCTGGTTAAGATGACCGCCACCGAAGTCAAGACCATTGTCCTGGTCAGAGTCACCATCAACGATACGCTCTTCGTGCTCTGTGCCATCTCGCTGTCCGTCTGCCTTTACAAGGTGGCTAAAATGTCCCTGGCCAGCATATACCTCGAGTCCAAGGTAGGACCTTCAGAACTTGTAGATCAGGGGCTGTATGTATCAAGCATCTCAGAGTAGGATTGCTGATCCAGGATCAGGTCTCGTCTGTCCATGCGATCCTAAATCAGCACTCCTTCTCTGAGACACTTGATACATACAGCCCCAGACTTCCATTAAGATTGACTAGGTCTGCTCCATGCTTTCCTGAACGTAGGACACAAAGTATAAAAACAGTTAAGGTCAACTTAAAAAACAGTTAAAGTTTTCTATTTTATTTAATGTCCTTGTATTTATTTTGGAGGTGGGAAAATGTGTGAACTCGGTAGCACTAAACTGTGACCCCTCGTAAATACTAATGCTGATTGGTAGTGCATGACCATGACCTCCCTCACCATTGGTTGCAGGGAACGTCAGTGTGTCAGGTGACTTTGATTGGCGTCCTGGTTGTTCTACTGTACGCATCACGGGCCTGCTACAACCTGGTGGTGCTGGCTCTGACCGACATCGAGACCGTCAACTCTTTTGACTACGACTGGTACAACGTGTCCGACCAGGTAAGGATGACACGCTATCCCAGGCACAGAATGAGAGGGAGAGAGAGAGAGAGAGAGAGAGAGAAAAGAGCTACAGAGAGAGAGAAAAGAGCTACAGAGAGAGAGAGAGAGAGAGAGATAAACACAGGCACACACCGAGACAGACAGACACAAACACACTATATGTGGGACAAGTCAAATACATTTCGCCAGACAAACACACTCGAAAACACAGTCTAACACCAACGATCCACAAATGAGGACCTTCTGGAGGGATGAACACACTAATGCACACTCTCTCTCTGTGCAGGCTGACTTGAGGTCCACTCTGGGGGATGCTGGCTACATCGTATTCGGGGTGATCCTCTTTGTCTGGGAACTGCTGCCAACCTCCCTGGTGGTCTTCTTCTTCAGGGTCCGCAGGCTGCCACAGGACAGGGTGAGTGTGTGTTCAGATGACAAGGGAAGAGAAGCTTGGAAATGTTTGATTGATTTGTAAAATGCTTTAATTTAACTAGTCTGCTGTTTACCAGCTAGTTAGTGGTTTAAACGGTAAATACCTAATAATTGCATTGCTCTTACACTTCGGTTTCATTGAGATTAATTGACGCTAGCGTCACTATGTAAGCCAATACCATTTGGTGCCAGGTAGTTACCAATTGTGTTTAATTCTAAGGTAAGTAGCCCCGTGTAGATCAGTTGGTAGAGCATGGCGCTTGCAACGCCAGGGTTGTGGGTTCGATTCCCACGGGGGGCCAGTATGAAAATGTATGCACTCAGTAACTGTAAGTCGCTCTGGATAAGAGCGTCTGCTAAATGACTAAAATGTAAATGTAAGTACTAGAAAGTGTCCATTGTTACCACGTCGTTTCTTAGTGAAAACACCAGGTAAGTACCAGCTTAAACTGGGCTCTTAAAGAAAGCGTTACCTATTTATTTAGCTTATTCGGAATGCTCTGTCTTTGCAGAGTGGAACAGGGATCCCGAACCACGTGCTCTCTTCCAGAGGTTACTTCTTTGACAACCCCCGTCGGTACGATAGTGACGATGACCTGGCGTGGAGCATCACTCCTCAGAACAACTCCGCAAGGTACAGTACAGTGTCAAGACGGGGATAGGTTACTTCTGAGTATGTTTTAGATTTAAAATATATACTGAAAGATAACTACACTGAACAAAAATATAAACACAACATGTAAAGTGTTGGTCCCATGTGCTGAAATAAAAATTTTGTGCAAACATTTGTTTACATTCCTGTTAGTGAACATTTCTCCTTTGCCAAGATAATCCATCCACCTGACAGGTGTGGCATATCAAGAAGTTGATTAAACACCATTATCATTACACAGGCTGGGGACAATAAAAGGCCACTCTAAAATGTGCAGTTTTGTCAAACAACACAATGCCACAAATGTCTCATGTTTTGAGGGAGCGTGCAATTGGCATGCTGACTGCAGGAATGTCCACCAGAGCTGTTGCCAGAGAATTGAATGTTAATTTCTCTACCATAAGCCGCTTCCAACGTCGTTGTAGATCATTTGGCAGTACGTCCAACAGGCCTCACAACTGCAGACCACGTGTATGGTGGTGTTGTATGGTGGGATTATGGTATGGGCTGGCATAAGATACGGATAACGAACACAATTTTATCAATGGCAATTTGAATGCACAAAAATACCATGATGACATCCTGAGGCCCATTGTGAGGCCCATTTTTTTAAAGGTATCAGTGACCAACAGATGCATATCTGTATTCCCAGTCATGTGAAATCCTTAAATTAGGGCCTAATACATTTATTTCAATTGACTGATTTCCTTATATGAACTGTAACTCAGTAAAATCAATGAAATTGTTGCATGTTGCGTTTATATTTTTGTTCAGTATAATAATAGTAACTAAAGGATTTGTTTATCTTTTGTTTCTAAAGCCTAGTTACAGACTGCTACGACTGGGGCAGCCGCAACAGCAGTTTCACTGTACAAACGGGGACGGACGAACAACGGTTGGCACCAGTGACGGGAGAGCTCCATCCGTACTGAGACATAACAAGTCCAGGGTCGGGGTCAATTCCATTTCAATTCAATTCAAATCAGGAAGCAAAAATTCAAATTCAAATTTTCCAAATCGAAAAGCAATTCAATGGAATTGACCCCAACTCTAAACCAGTCCACACTGCACTGTACAGCACCGCAATGCACTTTTGTCAACTTTGACACTTCCCGACAGCATCCGTACTTTGTCCATCATCAGCCACCGTATTGCATTAGCAACTTAGTGATAATGTAGACCAGTGGTTCCAAAACTATTTCACTCAGGCCCCCCTTCCATCATTGGGGAACATCCCGTTAGCTGACATGGGCTAGTTGATCTGGACATTTCTGACAAGTTATAAATAGCCCTAACGTCTGCAATGACTGACATGACAAGAGGAAAACTGCTGATATACTACCCAATTTCGAAATTGTGCCTTGTGCATTCTACTATTACAACTTTCAAGAGTAAGTTGAAAGCCTGACTGAGTTCCTTAAAAAAAACTCTGCGTCCCCCCTACAGACCGCCCCACAGTTTGGGAACCACTGATATAGACATTTTAGAAAGACGACTAGAAAACCTGTGAAATAAAACCATACTATAAGCTAGCACTAAGTCATGCACAAACATATACATCAAGGTAGTTGACCTTAGACAATATCAATATCCTAAAGCCTGTATATAACAATGATACAAATACAGAAACAAAATCATGTCATATCTATATCTGCAGTAAATATGACTATGAACATACATTAATTTATTGGTGACGTAATGGTGAAAAAGAAGGATTCTATATTTCTAACAGGAAGGTTTTTTTAAATGTAATTTGTAATGGAGAAAATGTCACTAATCAGATGCTCTATTTTGTGTCCGCTTTTCTGTCTGTGGATGTATCGTGGTCGGTATTGACACATAACCATGAATAAAAGGACATTTGGGGTGTGACATACTCAACGTGAAGATAGCCTACTGTTCTTGATTTAGTCACTAGTTAAAACGGAATTGACCCCAACATCGTCTACAATTTATTTTATGATAGGAAAGGTTCAGAACAAGTCTCAATAACACAACGCGACCCTTTTCAGGGTTTATTGCTAAAAATTACATTAAAATATTAAATTAAGCGTATAGAGCAGGGGTATTTAACTTATACCCTACTGGTTTTTCTGTTCTACCTGATAATTAACTGCACCCCTGATTAAAGGGGAACAATAAAAAAAAAAACACAGTGGAACTGGCTTTGAGGTCCAGAGTTGAGTTTGAGGGGTATAAAGTATACCTTTCGGTTACGGTGAGGTCAAATAGTATTGTTCCCAAAGTGCTTGTACATAATAGATTGGGGTACAAATCTGAAAAAGAGGCACAAAAAGTTTTGAATGACAACCAGAAATGTTTATTCCTATGTTCAAATAAATATAATCAAACAAGAATACACATCAATACAGGTGCAACTATACATATTCATATAGATTTGAAAAAAGTTATGTAATTTTCCTTTTACAAATAGTACAACTTCCTGGGTAATCTGAATATGTTACAAAGGCAGAGATAGCAGAAAGCAGAAGAGCGTGGAGATCATTGGAGACAAAATGGTGGATTTCATCCAAGAACGCAGACTCAAGCTTTTTTAAATATTATTTTCAAAACAATTTTTTGGAACTTTTAAGGCAGACAAGTGGATTGCACAGGACGTTCTGGTGTTTTTGAAAGCATGCGAGACTCAGACACACGCTTTTCCTCGAAGATAATATTTTCTCTTGTCTATTTTCTTCAGTTTAAGCAAAGAAGGAACAGCTCGTTCAAATCTCCATAGCGTTCACATTCACGACGACATTAGCATTGCTCTTTATGTTAGCATAAGTATCAGCTAGCTACCACTATTGACTCAAGTCCTACTTACTGGACCCCATGTCTACCTTTGATTGGATCAATATCTTTCTTTTACAAAAATGTGTTACTAAGTATTACCCAGGTATTTTCTGGCTACCGATAGTTTGTGATCTTTGCACATAAGGCGATCCTCACTTGCAACATTTTCTAACCAATGTTACCCAAGGGGGTGATGATGCACAAACTAAAAACGTATATGGTGGAAAAACTAAAATGTGCTTTGACATGATAGAAAATAAAAAAGGCAACGTAAAATCTTTGGTCCACATCGTAAAATACCTACTTCAGACAGAAATAAATAATGTATAGTGGGTGGAACGTTAGGGCTGTTTTCCTAAATAAGTTAAATCCGCTTCGTGTTTTGTTTCCATGCCATGATACTAAAGAGTATCACGATACTGGTATCGTCCCAGCCCTGAAGGGTATGACGGTATAAAAAGGTTGTGTGACATTAAATGCCATTACATGTATCCATTTTGAATTGATTTACATGGCAAGCTCACCAAGACACCCCAGCGAACTTGACCATCATGGGGGAACAAACCCCACTTCTTGTTTCGAGTTGCTTCTTTTCACACCATTGGCTCCATTCTCCATTAACAGTACTCTTCTCCAACATGGCAGTTTCACAGCATGACAGCTTATTTAAGTGAACTATGAAACAAATACTGGTGTGGCTTTTCATTGCCATGAAAACACCCTGGCTAGTCTTTCATAAAACCAATAAAATAATAGGATACGAATAAAACACCATGAACCGTTCTGCCACCATATAGAATAGGTATGAGAGAAGTAATGCAAGCTTATCGTTGTCAACAGATACACACTCCGCAAATTGTTCCTTTTTCACATTTAAATGTGGCTTTATATAATACATTTGTGATGAGCAATAAGACTGGATTGCCAAATAGAGATGATGTTAAAACACCCCTAAACAGCGCAGTTAAATGCACAGACACACAAAAGCAAAAGCAGACAGTCGCACACAGACGTTATTTCAATACATGCACTCGCTCACATTGACACAGAAAAAAGGTTACACCTCTAGGATAGCAAAAAGCAGCTATGCTTATCAAGTTTATGGTCGTAAAAGTACGGAATTAATCCTAGTTCTCGTTATCATTTAGCTGCAACTGGTGATCAAAGACAAACAAGTACTCTCTCACAAACACACACCTTCAATAACACACTCGCACACACACACACACACTCAAGGATGGGTCTAGCTCACTACTATGCCTGAAATGGTGAACACTTTCATCCACAACAGTCAAAACAAACTTTGAGAGGAAGAAGGAAGGAGGAGGGGATGGGGGTTCAGTGTCGATCCTGAAGTCCCTGAACTTGGTCTTATTCTGGGGAGGAATAAGACTATTGCAGTTCCCTCTGGGCGGCTCCACCTGGTGGCCGGGAGGTGGTAGTGCTGGTGGGGGGGTGGTGTTTGTTACCTCTTCTCCTTCAGTAAGGCGCGGAAACGATGGAGCTGGTGGATGCTTGTGGAGAGCCTAGGGGGAAAAACAGAGAAGGGGGGAGGAGATGGGGAGAGAAAAAGATTGAGAAACTATATACGACAATGTATGCAATATTTGGCAATATTTACTAAATGTATGTCATGCTAATAGTAATTTGAAATAGCAAAACAGAGAAAGCGCGAGAAAGAGCGAGAGAGTGAGAGAGAGAGAGATTTTAACACTACTTGAATCCCCCGTCATGAGGCCAACTGTGTTCATTACGCACCAAAGGGAACAAAACGGACTAAAACGGAAGGACTACCTGGATTTGTCCGGCATTAAATGGTCATTTTTGTTTTCCGTTTTAAAACATTTTCCATTGTGTGCCCTAATGAACACCACCCAGTTTCCAAGGCAGTAGTACCAACCATAAAGACAAAATATCTATAAAAAGTGGTACCAACCTCCCAAAGCCGTTGAGCAAGGCCACTATATCCTGGCGTGTCAGCTGGAAGCCCTTAGAGGGGCTGTGTTCCGGAAGGTTCTTGATCTCCTTCTCAGAGAAGAGGATCTTCAACGCTGTGCCCAGCCCTTGGGTCTGCAATGGGTTTATCATGTGAGAAAGCCTGAGATCTCACACACGCCAATCCATGATCCCATGTGGTTTATTGGTGACAAGGTTCCATGAGCTTATAGTTATTTAAATGTTTCTCAATCCTGGTCCTGCACACTTTTGATTCAACTAATCATCAAGCCTTTGATTATTAGAATCAGGTGTCTTATTATTAAGGCAAAAACTAAAATGTGCCCTGGCTCCCCAGGACCAGGATTGAGAAACACTGACAAAAGGGTTGAAACATTGTCGCCCATAAACCACATGGGAGCGTAGATTTCAATGTTCAGAGTCTCTTTTTACCTTATGAACATATTTGATATCCAGCAAATGCTCAGAAACATTGGATGTGGATACTGGTATGTAATATTTTCCTATACATCATCAGATCTAACACTGTCCCACGATACAATTCCATATTGCTTCTTCCTCTTGACTGTACTCAAAATTCAATGGTATTGTTTATTGTCCTAAGGGTATTGTTACTGCTTATAATGGTGCCTCTGTGTTATGTGCCGGGATCAGTTTGAAATCAGAGAAGTATCCTTTTAGTTAAGTCTTCATACATCAAAAATGTAATATCTAATTTTCTACAGTATGTATTAAACTGTAGCAAGTTGCACTGTAATTTGCAAAGTAACTAAATAACTCTGATATGAAGAGAAATAAATGAAAAATTGTCTGATCACATCTACAAATAGCACTGCCTTTCCACTCATTGCGTAACAGCTAACTACTGCAAAGCATAACGAGTAACTACCGCTAAAAGTAACCACGGGTCCACAGAAGACACAGGACAAGAGGCACAAAATGGCGTACCTGTAGCTTCCCCCACAGTCGACATTTACTGCAGCCCACACAGTCCATGATCCGGGAGATGTTTTTAAAATGTAGCCGGAATTCCTCCTGGGAAAACAGAGGGGGAGAGAGAGAAGGGAATGTTTCAGGCTTTTGCTTCCTGTGTGGGTATGAGCTAGGCTCAATGTGAATAAATAGCCTGCAAACACCTGCATTCATTCAGTATAATTTAAAGAGATTTAGTCATAATCAGGGAGGCTGAGGAATCATACACACACACACACACACACACACACACAGTTGCACCAAGTCAGTTGTCATTAGCTTAGCTATTATGACTTCCTGTCAGCCTAAATGTACAGCATGTAGGCCATATCATGGAAGTGTCAATGGACGGATCAAATTCAGTCTGTTGACCGAATACTGGCTCATTTGGTTAGCCGCTTGTGCAGTGAGCTAGCACAAAAATCAGCATACACACATCTGCTCTCCACAGTCCAAATTAAGTCCCACTGTACAAAGCTATGATAGGGACCAAACCATTGACATATGGGTCAAACCTATTCTAGGACTGGGCTTATGGCAAATATAAGCATGTTAGTTAGCATTGCTATGAGGTACCAATATAGAGAAATGAAAGTGAAATGCGTGGACTCACCTTCAACGTTTTTGCTTCAATCTTCTGACCAGCAAACATGGACTTCTCGTCAAAGTGCATTGGGAAAGCTCTGGGTGACGAGAAAAGACAGTTATTTCGAAGCCAAGACAATATCCGCAGTCAAAACCAACCACTTGACCTGAAATTCACATGGTCTCATTGAAGCCCTACAGTTCAGTAGCGCAAAAGATCCCTAAGACTCACTTGGTCTTGTGGCCTAGTTGGCCTAGCTGTAATGCTGCAGCCTTTGGCACATGTCTACAGTGTCGACATAGGTTTGAATCCAGCCTACTGCCCTTTGACACACTCTCTCTAGCTTTCCTCACTGTCACCCTCATCTCTCAGTATCTCTTTTATAAATAAAAAATAAAAAAACACACTTGGTCTCGTTGAAGAACTGCAGCAATAACTCTTTGGTGGCTCGGTCCTCTTGAAGGTCTCCCGTGTACAGGTTGACGAAGGCTCGATCGAAGTAGGGCGCCACCTTGGAGAGGGCGCGCAGCTCGATAAGGTAGAGAAAGTAGAGGTTCTTGAGGCGCCGTGTGCCCTCGCCTTTGGTCTCGGCCGGGTCGAAGCGCTGGCGGAACTCCTGCACATTGGGGCCCCACAGGGACTTGCCCCAGCCCTCTGATGAGAGCAGAGGGAGTGAAGAGTGAGGGTTACATCGACGTTGGCACAATGTTATGATGACGTTGGGGTGAAAAATTGGGACCACTGATTTAGAAACCTTGACGCATTGATGTAATGAAGGTGTAAACGCAGAGTGAATCAGTTATACAATGATAAAACAGACCCATATTAAAGTATTCCAATACAAGCATACTTACAAAAGTAGAGTAAATATACAGAAAATGCTAAATTGGTTTTACACAAACACCAATACACCACACACATTACTATAACCAGAGATAGAATCCGTCACCCAAATTGACATGGACTCGAGGGGCTTCTTCTATTCTAAGAATTATAATTCTATGACCATATAACGCTGGTGAATCTTTTGACATTTAAGGAGAGGAAGTGAACAGGAAGTGGTCTGTGTTTCATACCGCCCAATAGGTACCCTGCACACAGGTGGATGTTGATGCTGCTGTGGAGACCAGAGATGAGCCGGTAGAACACCCTCTTCTCCAAACACAGACCTAGAGTGGAGGAAGGGGCGAAAGAGAGTGAGAGATAGAGGGGTGATGGGAGGAGAGAGAGAGGGGGAGGGTTGGGAGAGGGTGAGAGAAAGAGAGGAGAAAAAAAAGAAAGCTTGAGATAGGCACACACACACCCCTAGTTCAGAAATAGTCTGCCATCACTGTGTACGTGTGTGTCGTAGACTCATCGCATTTGAGTGACTAGAGTCCCATCTCTTGGTCCAGTAAGTGTGTCTGCACGTCACGGGACATTCACAACAAAGGCTTATTTCATAGTCTTCTTTATACTAGAGCCAAGGAATGGAACTGTGTATGGTTTCTTTGTAGCCCACCCCAAGAGGTTTCCACCACTACTGTCTGCCTGAACAAAAAACCTTAATGAAGGCATACAAAGATAAGAGGGCGTTTTTTTTGGGCACCCTTTTCCCTATATAGTGCACTAGGTTTGGCCAGAGCCCCCCAAAGTAGTCCAGCACTACATAGGGAATAGGGTGCCATTTGGGACGCAATCTGAGAGATGTTGAAAACCCATTGTCAAGAGAGAAAGTTGGAGAGGCCCATTCATTCGTTCCTTTACACAGGGATCAGTCGTCCTGGTCCCTTGCAGAAAAACAGCCCCAAGCATGATGTTTCCACCCCCATGCTTCACAGTAGGTATGGTGTTCTTTGGATGCAACTCAGCATTCTTTGTCCTCCAAACACGACGAGTTTAGTTTTACCAAAAAGTTATATTTTGGTTTCATCTGACCATATGACATTATCCCAATCCTCTTCTGGATCACCAAATGCACCTAGCAAACTTCAGACGGGCCTGGACATGTACTGGCTTAAGCAGGAGACACGTTTGCACTGCAGGATTTGAGTCCCTGGCGGCGTAGTGGTGTTACTGATGGTAGGCTTTGTTACTTTGGTCCCAGCTCTCTGCAGGTCATTCACTAGGTCCCCCAGTGTGGTTCTGGGATTTTTGCTCACCGTTCTTGTGATCATTTTGACCCCACGGGGTGAGATCTTGCGTGGAGCCCCAGATCGAGGGAGATTATCAGTGGTCTTGTATGTCTTCCATTTCCTAATAATTGCTCCCACAGTTGATTTCTTCAAACCAAGCTGTTTACCTATTGCAGATTCAGTCTTCCCAGCCTGGTGCAGGTCTACAATTTTGTTTCTGGTGTCCTTTGACAGCTCTTTGGTCTTGGCCATAGTGGAGTTTGGAGTGTGACTGTTTGAGGTTGTGGACAGGTGTCTTTTAAACTGATAACAAGTTCAAACAGGTGCCATTAATACAGGTAACGAGTGGAGGACAGAGGAGCCTCTTAAAGAAGAAGTTACAGGTCTGTGAGAGCCAGAAATCTTGCTTGTTTGTAGGTGACCAAATACTTATTTCCCACCATAATTTGCAAATAAATTCATTAAAAATCCTACAATGTGATTTCCTGGATTTTTTTTCCTCAATTTGTCTGTCATAGTTGACGTGTACCTATGATGAAAATTACAGGCCTCTCATCTTTTTATGTGGGAGAACTTGCACAATTGGTGGCTGACTAAATACTTTTTTCCCCCACTGTATTTAAATGTTTCTCAATCCTGGTCCTGGACACTTTTGATTAAACTAATCATCAAGCCTTTGATTATTAGAATCAGGTGTCTTATTATTAAGGCAAAAACAAAAATGTGCCCTGGCTCCCCAGGACAAGGATTGAGAAATACTGTCGCCCATAAACCACATGGGAGCGTAGATTTCAATGTTCGGAGTCTCTTTTTACCTTATGAACATATTTGATATCCAGCAAATGCTCAGAAACATTGGATGTGGATACTGGTATGTAATATTTTCCTATACATCATCAGATCTAACACTGTCCCACGATACAGGGTACAATTCCATATTGCTTCTTCCTCTTGACTGTACTCAAAATTCAATAGTATTGTTTATTGTCCTAAGGGTATTGTTACTGCTTATAATGGTGCCCCTGTTATGTGCCGGGATCAGTTTGAAATCAGAGAAGTATCCTTTTAGTTAAGTCTTCATACATCAAAAATGTAATATCTATTTTCTACAGTATGTATTAAAACTGTAGCAAGTTGCACTGTAATTTGCAAAGTAACGCCAGGACAGCGTCACTCACCACCTTCCGGAGACACTTGAAACCCCACCTCTTTAAGGAATACCTGGGATAGGATAAAGTAATCCTTCTACCCCCCCTTACCCCACCCCAAAGAAAAAAAAATATATATTGTAAAGTGGTTGTCCCACTGGCTATCATAAGGTGAATGCACCAATTTGTAAGTCGCTCTGGATAAGAGCGTCTGCTAAATGACGAAAATGTAAATGAAAAGTAAATAAATTAAAAATTGTCTGATCACATCTACAAATAGCACTGCCTTTCCACTCATTGCGTAACAGCTAACTACTGCAAAGCATAACGGATAACTACCGCTAAAAGTAACCACGGGTCCACAGAAGACACAGGACAAGAGGCACAAAATGGCGTACCTGTAGCTTCCCCCACAGTCGACATTTACTGCAGCCCACACAGTCCATGATCCGGGAGATGTTTTTAAAATGTAGCCGGAATTCCTCCTGGGAAAACAGAGGGGGAGAGAGAGACAGGAATGTTTCAGGCTTTTGCTTCATGTGTGGGTATGAGCTAGGCTCAATGTGAATAAATAGCCTGCAAACACCTGCATTCATTCAGTATAATTTGAAGAGATTTAGTCAGAATCAGTGAGGCTGAGGAATCATACACACACACACACACACACACACACACACACTCGCACCAAGTCAGTTGTCATTAGCTTAGCTATTATGACTTCCTGTCAGCCTAAATGTACAGCATGTAGGCCATATCATGGAAGTGTTAAGTAAAGTTCAACGCACGCATCAAATTCGGTCTGTTGACCGAATACTGGCTCATTTGGTTAGCCGCTTGTGCAGTGAGCTAGCACAAAAATCAGCATACACACATCTGCTCTCCACAGTCCAAATTAAGTCCCACTGTACAAAGCTATGATAGGGACCAAACCATTGACATATGGGTCAAACCTATTCTAGGACTGGGCTTATGGCAAATATAAGCATGTTAGTTAGCATTGCTATGAGGTACCAATATAGTGAAATGAAAGTGAGATGCGTGGACTCACCTTCAACGTTTTTGCTTCAATCTTCTGACCAGCAAACATGGACTTCTCGTCAAAGTGCATTGGGAAAGCTCTGGGTGACGAGAAAATACAGTTATTTCGAAGCCAAGACAATATCCGCTCTAATTCACAGTCAAAACCAACCACTTGACCTGAAATTCACATGGTCTCATTGAAGCCCTACAGTTCAGTAGCGCAAAAGATCCCTAAGACTCACTTGGTCTTGTGGTCTGGTTGGCCTATCTGTAATGTCTACAGTGTCGGCATAGGTTTGAATCCAGCCTACTTCCCTTTGACACACCCTCTCTCTAGCTTTCCTCACTGTCACCCTCATCTCTCAGTATCTCTTTTATAATTTTTGTTGTAAATAAAACACACTTGGTCTCGTTGAAGAACTGCAGCAGTAACTCTTTGGTGGCTCGGTCCTCTTGAAGGTCTCCCGTGTACAGGTTGACGAAGGCTCGATCGAAGTAGGGCGCCACCTTGGAGAGGGCGCGCAGCTCGATCAGGTAGAGAAAGTAGAGGTTCTTGAGGCGCCGTGTGCCCTCGCCTTTGGTCTCGGCCGGATCGAAGCGCTGGCGGAACTCCTGCACATTGGGGCCCCACAGGGACTTGCCCCAGCCCTCTGACGAGAGCAGAGGGAGTGAAGAGTCAGGGTTACATCGACGTTGGCACAATGTTATGACGACGTTGGGGTGAAAAATTGGGACCACTGATTTAGAAACCTTGATGCATTGATGTAATGAAGGTGTAAACGCATAGTGTATCAGTTATACAATGATAAAACAGACACATATGAAAGTATTCCAATACAAGAATACTTACAAAAGTAGAGTAAATATACAGAAAATGCTAAATTGGTTTTACACAAACACCAATACACCACACACATTACTATAACCAGAGATAGAATCCGTCACCCAAATTGCCATGGTTCGTCATCCAAATTGCCATGGACTCGAGGGGCTTCTTCTATTCTAAGAATTATAATTCTATGACCATATAACGCTGGTGAATGTTTTGACATCTATGGAGAGAAAGTGAACAGGAAGTGGTCTGTGTTTCCTACCGCCCAATAGGTACTCTGCACACAGGTGGATGTTGATGCTGCTGTGGAGACCAGAGATGAGCCGGTAGAACACCCTCTTCTCCAAACACAGACCTAGAGTGGAGGAAGGGGTGAAAGAAAGTGAGAGAGAGGGGTGATGGGAGGAGAGAGAGAGGTGGAGGGGTGGGAGAGGGGGAGAGAAAGGGAGGAGAAAAAAAAGAAAGCTTGAGATAGGCACACACACACCCCTAGTTCAGAAATAGTCTGCCATCACTGTGTACATGTGTGTCGTCGACTCATCGCATTTGAGTGACTAGAGTCCCCTCTCTTGGTCCAGTAAGTGTGTCTGCACGTCACGGGACATTCACAACAAAGGCTTATTTCATAGTCTTCTTTATACTAGAGCCAAGGAATGGAACTGTGTATGGTTTCTTTGTAGCCCACCCCAAGAGGTTTCCACCACTACTGTCTGCCTGAACAAAAACCTTAATGAAGGCATACAGAGATAAGAGGGCGCTTTTTTGGGGCACCCTTTTCCCTATATAGTGCAGTAGGTTTGGCCAGAGCCCCCCCAAAGTAGTTTAGCACAACATAGGGAATAGGGTGCCATTTGGGACGCAATCTGAGAGATGTTGAAAACCTATTGTCAAGAGAAAAAGTTGGAGGGAGAGAGAGTGTCTCGGCTGAATTGGTTTGAATGTGAGTGGCTGTTCTGAGTGGTGTGGTTCTGAAACTGACTAAATAACAAAAGTGGTTAGAGCGTCAAAATAGTCTGTCATCATAATCCCAAGTTTCTACTTGTCCTGTGGCGTCCCATACAGGGAAATGACTATAGGGTGTAACAGCGCAGATACAAGATGTGCCATTTTGTCATGAAACTGCTTCATTCCAAAATATATAGTGTGTTTCAAGTGAAAATAATGCAGATTTGATGAGAAAAAAAGAAATAATTTGAGGAGATAAAAATAAATTTTTAAAGTTACCTTCCAGCCAGTTGTAGAAGCCTTCGCCTGCACGGATACAAGACAATAGGCCTTGTGTAAGTTTGCATTCATTAAAGCATATTATAAATAGAACAATTCAATATACATAGATTAACATGCATAGATTCCAACTTACCGTCATCATCTCCTCCTATGGGAATGAAAAAATACAGAAGAGAGAGGAGAACAAAGCCGGTTACACACTGTAGGCTATTAATATTACACACACACACACACACACACACACACACACACACACACACACACACTCTCTCTTCTGGAGGGGAAAACTGTACAGTATTTACTTATAAATAACTCAAGTAACACTACAAGGCAAACGTGAACAAAAGCCCTGCTTTCATTATTACCATCAACGATCTATTACCAGCAGGTAAACTGATCGAGAGGACATTATTTATTACACAAAAGCTGAATATGCACACCAACATTTCTGGAAATGATTCTGGAAAACAAGCAATAAATAACCATTTATATCATTTATAATTAATATATTGGTTATTAACAATATAACAACTATTACTATAACCTAATAGCGAAGTGAAAGCATGCGAATACACAGGGAAATCGTAAAACAAAACTAGCTGTTGGCTTAAGTGTGTATAATCCAGGCCACTCTGAGAAGGACAATGAAGACAAGACAATCCATGATGGTGAATACAGGCTGTAAACTAGAAGAGCATCCCTTACCTCTGGGCGGAACCAGTGGGTTAAGGGGCCGGTACACTGATCTGGGCCTGCAAACCACAAACAATACGCAATCAGACACTATACTGTTTGGATTTATTAATATGACATACAGTCAGGTCCATAATTATTGGCAGCCTTGATAAAGACAAGCAAAAAATACTAAAATAAATAAGACAAATACTGAGCTATATTGTATGTTCCAAAAAATTGGGAAATTATATTATTTTATACTAATACAATTGCTCAGAGAAATATATTTTTTTTAACAAGTAATACAAAAAATAAAAATAAATGTAGGAGTCAAAATGATTGGCACCCCTTTTCAACACTCCAGCAACCTCCCCTTGCAAGGATAACGACACTGAACCTTTTTCTAAAATGTTTTCTGAGATTGGAGAACACGTTAGGAGGGATCTTAGACAATTCCTCCATACAGAATCTTGCCATATCATTCTCCTGCTCTTATGGACTGCCCTCTTCAATTCAAACCACAGGTTTTCAAGTTTTGGATTTTGTTAGTGCTTGGGTTTATTGTCTTGCTGGAAAATCCACTTGAGGCCAGGCAGAGGCAACCAGATTTTTTGCAAAAATGTCCTGGAACTTGGTAAAGTTCATGATGCCGTTGACCTTAACAAGGGCCTCAGGACCAGTGGAAGCAAAACAGCCCCATAACATCAACAATTCACCACCATATTTTACCATAGGTATGATGTACTTTATTGCATATACGTCCCTTTTTTTATGCCAAACCCACCACTGTTGTGTGTGGCCAAAGAGCTCTATTTTCATGTCATCTGACCATAGCACTGCCTTGTCTTCATATATTAGAAATCACTGGCCACTTTAATAAACGGAACACTAGTCACTTTAATAATGTTTACATATCTTGCATTACTCATCTCATATGTATATACTGTATTCTATACTATTCTACTGTATCTTAGTCTATGCCGCTCTGACCATATAATTTATTTATATATTCTTAATTCCATTGCTTTACTCAGATTTGTGTGTATTGGGTAAATGTTCTGAAATTGTTAGATACTACTTGTTAGATATATATATATATATTTTTTTTTTTGTTGTTGACATTTTAGTCATTTAGCAGACACTCTTATTTTTTCTCATACTGGCCCCCCGTGGGAATCGAACCCACAACCCTGGCGTTGCAAGCGCCATGCTCTACCAAATGAGCTACACGGGGCACTGTCAGAGCTAGAAACACAAGCATTTCGCTACACCCGCAATAACATCTGCTAAACACGTGTATATGACCAATACAATTTGATTTGATAAACGGTATTGGCATTTGGATTGGAACCGGTGTTATGGTCAGATGACATGAAAATAGAGCTCTTTAGACGCGCACACCAGTTGTGGTTTTGGTGTTGAAAAACAGAAGCATATGCAGAAAAGTACCACGTTCCTACAGTAAAATATGGTGGTGGATCTTTGATGCACACATGCCAATAATTATGGACCTGACTGTCCATCAGACCATCGAAGAGAGGAAAGAAGCTGAACTATTTCAGCTAGCTACAGATTAGGGAACATGTCACTTATGTGATGTGGACTGTGCGCGAGTAGGCACGTGAGAAATTGAGTTCATCTGTGTGTAAGACTGCATTCAGGGGCATGTGCACAAGTTTATTTTGTGTGTGTGTGTGTCTCACTTGAAGCAGTTCTCCTCGTAGATGCTGTTCCACACTCTCCAGGCTGAGGGGCCCTTGTAGCCAGTGTAGCGCTCCGGGTTGAGGAGCAGGTCCACATAGTCTGCATCTGGTGACGTCTCATCTGACAGAAGAAAGGTGTGAGAAAGAATGAGAGAACATTGGGATGGATGGATAGATTAATCAATTTCACTATTGAGATACACCTTATAAAATCTCTCTTATCAATGTTAAAGGGGTATTTCACCGCAATACCAAAATGTGTCCGATATTTTCACACCTCAAAAGATTAAAATGCATTACTGGCCTGCTACACTAAATGCACATTATTTGCAGAGCATGAGACGCTCCTATTAATTTCACTGAAACCTGGATGTAAGAAGCGTCGCTTCACGAGAGGCTCGCGTGGCTGAGCGTATAATCTCAAGACACCCAAAACTAAAATATTTCGCAATTGCGTCAGATGCTCGATTATATTCTGGGGGGAGACGTGTTAAAAAATATTCTAATGAGACTAGTGAAGTCTCCATCTTTCTAAACAGATACTCTCAGACAGTTACATGTGTTTGTCCATCAGAGATTCCTGAGCGGATAATTAAGCTCTGGTTCTATTTTCAACATTCGTTGTGTAGCTCACGCCCGAGAACAATTGATAAAAGTGGTTCTCGCACACTGGCCAAAAGTTCTGCTTCCAGTGTAGCAGGTAAAAAACCTACTGCTTTTGCAACACCACAGTGTAGCTCCTATGTTAGAAGAAATACACCAGCCTCGATCCCATATGAATGGAAAAGGTAGGCACCGTCTAAAAAGTCTTTAAGTCTCTTAGGTGGAGCATTGCAGTGGAAGAAGAATGGGCCTTACCATCCAGCTCACAGAAGTGGTCCTGTGCATCATCGTGACGGGCCCAGTCCTCAAAGGCCTCTTTACTATAGTTACTATAGGGGAGAGGAGGAGAAAAAGTAATACTGCAACCACTCTCGGACAACGCTTTCATTCATCTGAAATAACCACCATGTTTTGCATGGTTGGTTTGCCCATGTATGTATGAGGCCTTTTAGGGAAGTAGCGTGCGTGTGCTCTTACCTCAGGGTGCTGTTAATGGCCCCCAGGTCTTGGGCTTGTTCACAATCTATGTCTGTGTTGGCGTTGGCCACCTGGGAATACTGGCACACAAGGATAGAAAGAGATGGTTTTTCAACACCACTGAAACTATTTATTTGAAAAAAAAATGTTTTATACATTTGAATATTTGTAGCTACTTTTTAAGTAAATACCTGCAGTCAACTTGTGCAATACGTTAGGAGATAAAGAACATTGCATTCTTCATTTCACCTGTCACATTATTATGTAGCTTACAGTAGTCCCCAGACACATCTCATGTGGTGTTTGTTTACAAGCACACGGCGAGAGACCCTTGTGAGTCATTCACTGTCATGCAGCATGCGCCAGGTGATCTAATTACAGTATGGAATTCACAACTAAATGTTTGCCAGCTAGATACCTTATAACTATTAAGTTAACTGTCTAAAATGTGCTAAATGCTCTGCAGTTCTGCATTTGGTTTGCTAATTTAGTAGCTAGTTAGCTATCTAACTAAGTGGTTAGCTTCTTCCAAAATCCAGCATCCGAGCAGTCAGGTAGGCTATTTGGAGTGTTCAGCCGGCTGGATTTAGGACCCCGCGAACACCACAGAGCGGGCTGACAGGCTGTGTGAAGGCAAAGCTTCTGGAAGGCACGGGAGAGTTGAGCATAGTTTAGTGTGTATGTGTTGCACTCTTTCACCAAGTTTCAAAAGCAAGCAGAGCAGAAACTGGCTACTCTTTAGTTGACTGATGTAGCTGGCAAGGTAACTGCTGTTTAACTTAACAGAAGAAAACTAAACTACTGTTTATTCGCAGTGCTGACATATACAGTAACGTTAGCTAATGTTTCATCCCCTCTCAACTGAGGTGAATGAATAAGCTATGCTAGCTAGTAGTACCTACCACAGCCAGGTCAGCTCTATCCTCTAGTTTTCTGTCAGATAGTAATAATAGCCACCACATATCGCTATCTAACAGCTGTTGTTTGTATGGAAAGGTTTTGTAGCATTTGTTAACGCATACAAAGAAGAAAGTGGACCGTTTCCAAATAATCTGTGGGACAACAAAAATATTTTCATCACAAAGACCCGCAAAAATGCAGACCGAGCCGCAATGATCTCTGTCGGACCCGCAGCCCTCTAGTGCAGTCAGTACACAACACTGTGCTCATTATGTCTTAGCAGGATCAGGAGTCCCAGCAGGGTTCAGACAGCCAGGGAAGAACAGTCTACGGAGCTCAGGTGAATTTTTAAGTATATTAACAATATCAGTGAATTATACAAAGTTCCATCTTGAATTGATGGGTAGACCTACAGTAGCTAAACTTAAGCTACAGGACAGCAGCTTAAGCTTAAAGCTACAGTCTGGGATCTGGAAATAATGGTCATTTCAATTATTGAACCATTGTGTCATTCCTCTGCTGGAGGTGTAAAACACAAATGGTTGTACATTTGCATATGTTATGGTCTTCTGAAGGCTGGCTGAATTCTGGCAAAGAGTATGTTCTTATCTCAGCATGTCTACAGATTCTCCCTTCTCGCTATTTTTATTTGCTTGGGCATGTTGATTCTGGAGACTGTTATCTAAACAAAATGTGTAACCAAGCATTTATAGCGGCTAAAAAATGTATTGCAAATTAATTGGAAGGTTGGTTATCCTCCCACAATGGCAAGTTACAGTGCATTCGGAAAGTATTCAGACCCCTTGACTTTTTCCATATTTTTTGTTATGTTACAGCCTTATTCTAAAACGGATCAAACTATTTTTCCCCCTCATCAATCTACACACAATACCCCATAATGACAAAGCGAAAACAATTTTTACTAATTTATCAAAAATAAATAACAGAAATACCTTATTTACATACACTACCGTTCAAAAGTTTGGGGTCACTTAGAAATGTCCTTGTTTTCCATGAAAACATACATTAAATGAGTTTGAATAGGAAATATAGCAAAATGAATAAGAAATGTAGTCATTGACAAGGTTAGAAATAATAATTTTGTCCTTCAAACTTTGCTTTCGTCAAAGAATCCTCAATTTGCAGCAAGTACAGCCTTGCAGACCTTTGGCATTCTAGTTGTCATTTTGTTGAGGTAATCTGAAGAGATTTCACCCTATGCTTCCTGTAGCACCTCCCACAAATTGGATTGGCTTGATGGGCACTTCTTTCGTACCGTAAGTCAAGCTGCTCCCACAACAGCTCAATAGGGTTGAGATCCGGTGACTGTGCTGGCCACTCCATTATAGACAGAATACCAGCTGACTGCTTCTTCCCTAAATAGTTCTTGCATAGTTTGGAGCTATGCTTTGGGTCATTGTCCTGTTGTAGGACAAGGCCTCCTGTAGCTCAGTTGGTAGAGCATGGCGCTTGCAACGCCAGGGTTGTGGGTTCGATTCCCACGGGGGGGCAGTATGAAAAATGTACGCACTCACTAACTGTAAGTCGCTCTGGATAAGAGCGTCTGCTAAATGAATAAATGTAAAAATGTAAATGTAGGAGGAAATTGTCTCCAATCAAGCGCCCTCCACAGGGTATGGCATGGCGTTGCAAAATGGAGTGATAGCCTTCCTTCTTCAAGATCCCTTTTACCCTGTACAAATCTCCCACTTTACCACCACCAAAGCACCCCCCGACCATCACATTGCCTCCACCATGCTTGACAGATGGCATCAAGCACTCCTCCAGCATCTTTTCATTTGGTCTGCTTCTCACAAATGTTCTTCTTTGTGATCCGAACACCTCGAACTTAAATTCGTCTGTCCATAACACTTTTTTCCAATCTTCCTCTGTCCAGTGTCTGTGTTCTTTTGCCCATCTTAATCTTTTCTTTTTATTGGCCAGTCTGAGATATGGCCTTTTCTTTGCAACTCTGCCTAGGAGGTCAGCATTCCGGAGTCGCCTCTTCACTGTTGAAGTTGAGACTGGTGTTTTGCGGGTACTATTTAATGTAGCTGCCAGGTGAGGACCTGTGAGGCCTCTGTTTCTCAAACTAGACACTAATGTATTTGTCCTCTTGCTCAGTTGTGCACCGGGGCCTCCCACTCCTCTTTCTATTCTGGTTAGAGCCAGTTTGCACTGTTCTGTGAAGGGAGTAGTACACAGCGTTGTACGAGATCTTCAGTTTCTTGGCAATTTCTCGCATGGAATAGCCTTCATTTCTCAGAACAAGAATAGACAGATGAGTTTCAGAAGAAAGCCTGTAATCGAACCCACAATTGCTGACGCTCCAGATACTCAACTAGTCTCAAGAAGGACAGTTTTATTGCTTCTTTAAATCAGCACAACAGTTTTCAGCTGTGCTAACATAATTGCGAAAGGTTTTTCTAATGATCAATTAGCCTTTAAAAATAATAAACTTGGATTAGCAAACACAACGTGCCATTGGAACACAGGACTGATGGTTGCTGATAATGGGCCTCTGTATGCCTATGTAGATATTCCATTAAAAAAATCAGCCATTTCCAGCTACAATAGCCATTTACAACATGAACAATGTCTACACTGTATTTCTGATCAATTTGATGTTATTTTAATGGACAAAAAAATAGCTTTTCTTTCGAAAACAAGGAAAATTCTACGTGACCCAAAACTTTTGAACGGTAGTGTAAGTATTCAGACCCTTTGCTATGAGACTTTAATTGAGGTCAGTTGCATCCTGTTTCCATTGATCATCCCTGAGATGTTTCTACAACTTGAATGGAGTCCACCTGTGGTAAATTCAATTGATTGGAAATGATTTGAAAAAGGCACACACCTGTCTATATAAAGGTCCCACAGAGCAAAAACCAAGCCATGAGGTCGAAGGAATTGTCCGTAGAGCTCAGAGACAGGATTGTGTCGACGCACAGATCTGGGGAAGGGTACCAAAATATTTCTGCAGCGATGAATGTCCCCAAGAACACAGTGGCCTCCATCATTCTTAAATGGAAGAAGTTTGGAACCATCAAGACTCTTCCAAACTGAGCAATCGGGGGAGAAGGGCCTTGGTCAGGGAATTAACCAAGAACCCGATGGTCACTCTGACAGAGCTCCAGAGTTCCTCTGTGGAAATGGGAGAACCTTCCAGAAGGACAACCATCTCTGCAGCACTCCACCAATCAGGCCTTTATCGTAGAGTGGCCAGATGGAAGCCACTCCTCAGTAAAAGGAACATGACAGCCCGCTTGGAGTTTGCCAAAATTCACCTAAAGGACTCTCAGACCATGGGAAACAAGATTCTCTGGTCTGATGAAACCATGATTGAACTCTTTGGCTTGAATGCCAAGCGTCACGTCTTGAGGAAACCAGGCACCATGCCTATGGTGATGTATGTTGGTGGCAGCATCATGATGTGGGGATGTTTTTCAGCAGCAGGGACTGGGAGACTAGTCAGGATCGAGGGAAAGATGAACGGAGCAAAGTACAGAGAGATTCTTGATGAAAACCTGCTCCAGAGCGCTAAAGACCTCAGACTGGGGCGAAGGTTCACCTTCCAACAGGACAACGACCCTAAGCACACAGCCAAGACAATGCACGAGTGGCTTCGGGAAAAGTATCCGAATGTCCATGAGTGGCCCAGCCAGAGCCCGGACTTGAACCCGATCGAACATCTCTGGAGAGACCTGAAAATAGCTGTGCAGCGACGCTCCCCATCCAACCTGACAGAGCTTGAGAAGATCTGCAGAGAAGAATGGGAGAAACTCCCCAAATAAAGGTGTGCTAAGCTTGCAGTGTCATACCCAAGAAGACTTGAGGCTGTAATCGCTGCCAAAGGTGCTTCAACAAAGTACTGAGTAAAGGGTCAGAATACTTATGTAAATGTGTTATTTTCAGTTTTTTATTTTTAGTACATTTGCAAACATTTCTAAA